GAGACGGATGCATCATGGCATTGGTTTTTCAGTAAGCTTCATGAAGCCATTGGTGAGTGTCCAAATCTTGTGATTATTTCTAATCGGAATATTAGCATAGAGAAAGTGTGGCACAATGTTTTTCCTACAGTGCAAAATGGCATATGCTTTTACCATATGAAGGGGAACATGAAACGCACTTTCAATTTGAAAAAACGTGATAAATTATTGCTATACTTTGAACAAGCTGCAAAATCTTATGGTATCGCTGAATTTAATCGTCATTTTCGCAAGATCAAAGGAAATGATGAGGTTGCTCAATATCTTGAAAGTGCAGGATTACACAAGTGGTCTAGAGCTCACATCGATGGATGTCGATATAATGTAATGACAACAAACATTGCGGACTCAATCAACTCAGTCCTTCGGTTCGAAAGGATGCTACCAGTGGTGCATTTGATTGATGAAATCATCAATCTGCTTGTGAAATGGTTCAGTAAACGTCGTCATTTTGCTTTGAATTGTACATCAACATTGTGCCCTTACTTTGGCGAGAAGAAGCTGAGACACAGGTTGGAATGTGCTTCAAGGATGAATGTCGTGAAACTGAATCATGTAGAGTATAATGTCGTGGACGGTGATATGGACGGCCACGTACATTTGACGAATAACACTTGCAGTTGTAGGAAGTTTCAGCTTGAGCAACTACCTTGCAAGCATGTAGTTGCAGTGTGCCGTTTCTTGAAACTAAATGTATACTCTATGGCTTCTCGTTATTACACTCGACATACATGGTTGGATGCTTATTCAGATACCATATACCCGGTACAACCTCAAGAGTTGTGGGTTATTCCTGAAGATGTCCAAAGTAGAGTTGTGCGTCCTCCCAATGCAAAGGTCATGCCAGGCCGACGAAAGAAGCTAAGGATTCCTTCGCAAGGAGAGGATATCATAAGGAGAAAATGCTCAAGGTGCAGTGGCACAGGCCACAATAAAAGCACCTGTAAAAACAATGTTCCACTACTTAATGTTGGACATACATTATGAATTATGGGGTATGAATTTGAATTGTATTTGTATTGGGTTTTGTGTTCAGTGGATTCTGAATTCTGTTAAATTTTCATAATTTGGTATGTATTGTGTATTCTATGTTCTACATAGTTGTTAAAATCCGTCATTTTTGGGCCTAAATTGTGTATTCAAAGTTTCTGATTCAGTGGGTCGAATCGGGGGTGGGTATGCCATTCCCGTCCCCATCCCTATAAAGCTTTTATCCCCCAACCCTACCTTCGTATCCGCCATACAGACTTCCCAAAAAAAAAGGATATACAAGGGCAATACACTAGCAATATACAAGCAATAAAGGGCTATACGATGGCAATACACATACTCCCCTATAAATTTATTCCAGCACAGACTTGGAGAAAAAAAGATATACGAGGGCAATACACAAGCAATATATAAGCAATAAAGGGCTATACAATGGCAATACACATACTCCCCCTATAAATTTATTCCAACACAGACTTGAAAAAAGAAAGATATACGGGGGGCAATACAGTAGCAATATACAAGCGATAAAAGGCTATACAATGGCAATATACAAACTCTATACGCCCCCTATAAATTTGTTCCAACAGACTTAAAAAAAAAAAAAGATATACGGGGGCAATACAGCAGCAATACACAAGCAATAAAATGTTATACAATGGCAATACAAAAACTTCATATTCCCCCTATAAATTTATTCCAACAGACTTTAAAAAAAAGGATATACGGGGTCAATACACGAGCAATAAAGGGCGATACATGTGCAATACATATCTGTCATGGCATTTGCCAATTAAATCACTAATTTGGTCACATTTGTATTTTTTTTTCTTCTTTGCAAGGGGAACGATAAAACCATGGAAACTAGAGATTGACAAATTTCCTTCTAACTTGACTTTCATAAATTGATGAACTAACAATGTTATCTCATTACATCTTAAGATATACATAAGAAAGTGGCAAAAAATAAAAAATTTACATCTCCTATTGGTCGGGAATTTTAACACATTAGCAAAATTCGACAACATCTCCTCTTAGAACCGAATGTAAGCTGAAAGTTAGCAATTTCCTCCCCAAGAGAATGCTACCACTTGAAACAAGACAATCTTCCATCTGTATAAAACATATCAAAAATGCATATTAGAAGCAAATCATTCAATCACAATGGAAACAAAAACATAACATTCAATCACAACTGAAACCAATTTCAAAACAAAACCAATTCCAAAATTCATAACAAAAACCAATACCAAAATAGATTCAGAAACCAATACCAAAACAAGTTCAGACATACTTACAGGCACTACAAGTATCATACACATACATTTACATGCACTACAACAAATAGAATGGATAAATGTAAAACTGTAGTATGATATACATTTTTTAATAGAAGAAAGAAAAAAAAAATTATGATATACATAATTTAAGAGCTGAGCTTGAAGTTTGCCGAGTTATATATACCTCTGAGAAATCTATATGTGGTTTCTCCAGTGAAGGACTACCTTCAAGAATCCTATCTTCATACAGATTGTTGGTTTTTCTAAATGACCCAATTCACCCTCTCTCTTTCGGCCACCCTTCTCCACCTCCATCTCTCACTCTCTGTCACCTCTTTCAACTACCGTTCTTCCCCTCCGATTCAACAAATTTCTCAATTTTTCTCATCTTTCCTGAAATCCATGGCATCTCAGGTACTCAGCTTTTCTGCTTTACTTTCATACCCATATGTTATTTAGGTTTTCTTTTGCTTGTTTCAATTTCATATATGGGTTGGAATTTTTGGTGCTTAATGTCACTTCAAGTCCCTCCAAGTCAAATTTGAGTGAGATTGTACATAAATTTGTTTAAACATAATTGTGGGTTTAATTTAAAATTTTATCTCTCTTTTTTTAAATTAATATTTTCAGCTTGTGTAGAGAATGTTATTTAAGTAGGATTATACAAAAACTTGTTGAACCAAAATTTTGGGATTGTTCAACAAATATTTCTCTATTTGTTGTAAGGAATATTATGCTTGAAGCTTGAAGCTTGTCCAGGCTAAAATGATTTTGAAGTTTTTCTTTTGCTGATTGAATTTATTACTGAGTTAGGTTTTTATTCTGACAAAAAAAAAATTGAAGAAACACAATTATTTGGTTCAATGGTCTCTTGGTTTTATAGGAGTTGTGTGATCTAATATAAAGGAACATTCGGGCCACTAGAAAGTGTTCTGCATCTTCAAGAATCTGTTATGATCTGAACTACTAAGTGATTTTTGAATGAACTACATAAATTGATATAATGAACTACTAAGTGAGCTCTTTGCATCCATAATATTGAATTAGCAATGGTGAGCTTAAGTAGAAGCAAATGCTTGATATCTAGTAAGATAATAATCGAAGTTAAATTGTGCTTGATGTCCACCACTTACTTTAATTACGCTCCTCTACAATGTAGAACACTTTTTACAAAGTTAGATTGTGCTTGTAGAGGAATTGGATAATGGATAATGGGTTCACCAATTACAAGACTGCTTTGTTCATTCCACAATCCACTCTGGAATTGCTCTCCAATTCTTATAACCTTCCTTGTTTCTCTTTCTAAAATTATGTTTCATTGTTGTAGGTTGTTGCAGGCAGATGCCATAAACCATATCAATTATAAGGTGAGAAAAAAGAGTTCTTTGATGACAGGGAAGAGTGTATAGAGGCATTGTAGTATGGCAGCCATCATCATTCAGTGTTTTAGATTTAGGCTTACCTATGAGTTATTGCTAGGCTTATTGCCTTAACCTTTGGTTGTTGTTGGTGTTAGTGCTTCATGAGTTTGCTATCTTTTTAAGAAGGCCATGGAAAATGCACCTTACAAAATTTGTTGATGAAATTGTTGTTGCACAACAAAGAGGACCTGGAATTTTTTTGTTTTGCCATCTCTTTTACAGGGTTCATTTGTAGGGTTC